TGGGTATCCAAAGTACGAACGAGATGGGTGTTAGAGAACTGGTCTAAAACATAGAACCCACAATCAGTGCCTTCTTGCACAACAAGTGTTGGAGGATGAGCATATCTAAAACGCAATCAAAGGGGTCAACTGAACTCTAAGCCTGGCGTACTCATCTCGGAACCACACACTGGGTGTTTCTCTGTTAAACTTGACCAGACAGAATATACTAATCAGATCATTATGGTCTCAAAAGTATTGGGATAGCCTTATGAGGACCTCTTACTCTATACCTAATCGCCCATCATTTTTCCATATCGTGGCTCAGAAATGCTCTACCCACCCAAATTAAATTAGTGGAGTGGAATACTTCAAAGGATTTTAAACAGTCAACAATGTCATTTAGGTCTGAGTTGCACCAATTATGGCAATGGAAGACCATGCATGTAACATGGACACACCATAACTTTGAAACATCTGTATCGGATACATGGACAAGTGACACTCATGCCGGACACACATCAACAAACTGAGGCATATGATTTCAGATAAAAGTTTCCTTAATACCCCAAAATATTATAAATAAAAAAGGGGGGGAAAGAAGAAAAGATAAAATTTTACTCACTCATTAAATTACAGCTAAATGAAAAGAGAAAAAAGAAACTTGAAATCAAAAGATATTATTCTTTCTGTCTAAATCATGTGTTACAACTCAATCACAATCTGTATCCCAATGTCCAGGTCTTTTAAGATGTCGTGTCAGAATCCAACATACGTAATAACCGCGTAGATATCAAAGGGATGATTCCATTGTTGGATCCAAGAATTTGCTTATTCTTAGTTCGAGATCATACAGATCAAGAGCTTAAAAATATGGATTTTGATTACAAAATAGTCAATTTCTTCCGAAATGTTGCTTCTGTTATTCTTCTCCAAAACATAATTCAAAGTGAAATGATAAAACTAATGAATCTCCTATTCCTAACCAAATGATGCAATGTTGGTTGTCTTTTAAGGGTCTTCTTGGGACATGGAAAAGATTGCAGAACAAATACAAGATTAAGAGTTTTAGCTGATTGTGTCTTGCTAGAAGGCCTAGTAAACAAATGATCACATGACAAGCACCGTTTTACTGTACTTTACATCATGCGTACCAAATACCACCATTAAGCCATGGACTACACACTATTCAAAGCAAACAAAAATATTATATCAACATATACTGATAAATATGTTTGTCTACATTATCTACAATTATAGTAATTAGTAATCATTGTAATTTTGTTTTTTTGAAAGTAATTGTTGTAAATTACCTGACCGACAACAGAATTGCCTTCGTAGATGGTGCAAGATCTCTGGAAGGGGAAACCTCTCATCTTTAAAATAGAATTGAAGCCACCAGAACTGTCACTACCTAAGAACA